ACCCAAACGACTTCACCAGAGCGACGTCGTAACGACGTCGTTTTGAGTTCACCCAAACCACTTCGCCAGTGCAACGTCATAACGACGTCGATTCGAACCCGTCTTCGCCCTATGGCAAATTGGGTACATACATGTATTTAGCAAGTTCAATCAGTGAACGCTGCCCTGCAGGAAATTTTGCTAGTTCAGAACTAGCTCATTAAGAGGCGGTACTGGTTCTTGATCTATCCCAACGCTATGGTTTCAACTGTCTCTTTTTATATGGCGTCGTCCTACGAAGTGGAAATTGTCACCTCTGCAGAACTTTGGAACTAGTTCTGAACTGGTTCCATTTTCGACAGTTCNTGATCTATCCCAACGCTATGGTTTCAACTGTCTCTTTTTATATGGCGTCGTCCTACGAAGTGGAAATTGTCACCTCTGCTTTGGAACTAGTTCTGAACTGGTTCCATTTTCGACAGTTCTGGGCCAATAAGTTTTTTTATGAGAAAACATTTTTAAATCAAATTTCTGGATATTTTTTTCTTTTCTGAACTTTTTCCGTTTTGGACAGATCTGCGACAAGAGGTTTATTATGAAAAAAATTTTGATTATCAGATTTTTTGATATTTTTTGATTTTTCCTGTTCTTTTACAGATCGCATTTTATTAATTTTTTTTTATTTGATTTTATTTATATTAAATTTGATCATTTTCTCTTAAACCGCGATTCGAACTCGCGATCAACGATGTTGGATTCGGAGGTCTTCCCGCTGAGCTACTTTAGTATTGTACGAGAAGTGAGAATTTGTGCATTTTCGTCTTAACAGAGCCCAACTACCACACCAAAATTTCAACTGTGCCTCCCTGCAGCCGTTTTGCACTAGTTCAGAGATAGTTCTGACTGTCTCTAAATTTTACTGCAGGGTGTTTAGAACAAATACATTTATGTGTGTATGTATGTGGTATAGCGCAGTCACGTCGCTCATACACATCTCATACCTTGTTTATATGACATCAAACTCGGTCATGATTCAATAATACAAGGTTAGATAATTATTGACAGCCGCGGTTTGACACTCCCTTACAAAAGGTTGCATTCACTAAGGACAGAGAAAGGGCGAAAATGGTAGTAGAAAAGTACGCAAAGTAGGCAATTAGTAGTGAAATTCCTTGTGTAAATTCTAATGTATTTGCAGGAAATCTGGCATTTTAAATGAAATATTGAACGAAATATTAATATATCTATGTGAATTACGTAACTTATTTGCTATTTAGCTGTATAAAAACTGCACCAGGACTGAAAATTAAAATAAAACTACTATGAGATTTATGTAAACATCCAATTTAAAAACAATTTATGTTTTCATCACTTAAATGTGCTTCATATGCATTTGCAAATAAACATATTGCACAAAAGCTTATACTTCTATTTCACACCAAAGCTACACTGTTTCCATGTAAATTNGGGAATCATCCCGGATTAGTCGCATTTTTTGCAGGGTTACAACTCACGGCAGCATACATACATATGCACATAATTACACGCATACTCAAATACAACAATAACTATTTNTTTGCAAATAAACATATTGCACAAAAGCTAATACTTCTATTTCACACCAAAGCTACACTGTTTCCATGTAAATTTGCAAAGAAGCAACATGGTGCCACTGCTAAGGGAGCGGTGTGAGAGAGACAACTGTCAGTTTATCGAACCTTGTATTATTGAATCATG